CCGAGATGTTAAACGGACGAGTAGGATCCATAATACATGTAAAGCATATAGTGGGAACATATGTTTGAGAAAATATGTCATTTTTCGAACCTGTGTTTGAGAAAAATAAGTAATTTTTTTTTTATTTTCCAAATTATAATATTTTTATATATTATAATTAACGTTACATATTATGACACAAAATCATACAGTTTTTATGAAAAAGATAGAAAGACTGATGAAGCTTAAAATACATTTACTGTACACTATTTGTAATATTTTCAAATAAATATGTGATTTGTTGTAGAAGTGAATGGAAAACACGAAGAATTAATACTTTTTTCGTTTCAAAATGTAAGTTATTTTAGTTTTTTTTTTTCAAAATATAAGTTGTTTTGACAATACTAAGTACTTTTAACTTTATTGAATATTGTGTGACTACTAATATTTTGTAGTTTTTTATGTGACTGGTCAAATTATTTTTATTAGATATATTAATGATATTTTTTAGTATAAAATTAGTTCTTTAATATGTGTGTTTTTAAGTAAAACAATTTACATCTTCAAACAGAGGAAGTATTTATTATCTAGAGACCGTTCACAATAATATGAACCAAAACTAGTAAGAAAAATTTCAGCATATTATTGTATGTATGGGTGTCTCTCACTCTCTCTTAGTTAATATTTTTGATTTCGGATGATCGTGTTAGCTTCTTCATATCATTGTTTATGAAGAGTTTGTTTAAGTATTCTAATTCGCGTGGACGTAGAAACCAACTTTCTATCTCTCGTGGATTTTGGAATTCTTTGTTGTCTCTTTCCAAAAGACGCGCACTGCGATATGATAAACCGTTGAAACAAAGACTCATCTATAAAAAAAGACTCATCTATCATGCATATTAGTTGAACTAGACTCGGATCAAAATGTAAAAGGAAACAAAAATACATGAATATATTTGGCTGTGAAGGTGTGGAACTTCTTAGTTCTTAGCTACTACATCTTTAATAGAAACTTCTTCAAAAAGAATGCTATTTATTTGTTTTTGTCTGAAAATTCGGAGGTTAAAGCGATCAACTGATTTTACGGTCCGCTCTACCCGAAATTAATTGGCGGGAGTTGGGGATACACATGCTAAGCGTTTGCCACGTAACAATGTATTGTGGGTCTCATTCGAGTGCCACCGGACCTACCACCACCCATTAGGAGAGTTATACCAAATTGGGGAGTAAATAAGATAGATTAAGGTTATTATATAATAACTTGTTTATATCAATCTATTAAGGTTTTTATTGTCATACACAATTGGTAAAATAACTTGTTTGCAATATTTTTAATGACATGTGACAGTTTTGATTAACAAATATTGTAGAATCGAAGTATAATATTTTAACTAAAAATACGGGGTAGGTAGAAAGAGAAACTCTTTCTCTTTTATCTCTAATTTGTGTTCGTCGCCGCCGTTCTTTTTGCGTTCTGTCTCTTTGACGTCCAGCTTCGCAGACAATGTGAGATGCCTTTTTGGGGTCAGCGATGCTTCATCTTGATAAAACTTTCTCATCTGAAAGCTACGAGGTCCTCCTGTCCTTCCCGTGGCGGTTTTCGTCAGCCTAATGCCCTACGGTGGTGGTCCTGTGGTGGTTTGGGTGGAGAAACTTCGGAATATTTTTTACGAGATCTAGTCGGCTTCTTCTCTTTAGGATTTCGTGATGGTTCTTCCCTCTTGGTGCATGTGGTGGCTGGGCTTGAATCCGGTTGGTGGTGGCTCGGCTGTCGCCGGTTTGGTTATGCGGTAAGTGATCCTATGCTATTGATCTGATGGATGTTTGTCTTTTGATTTAGATCTCCTAGGGGTGGGGGATCTATTGAAGAAGATAGTTTTTCTAGTGAGATCTACGGCGTGGCGGTCTTTTCCCCTATTCCCGTCGAGTTTGGTCTGATCGTTAATTGTTTATCCTCTCCGATTCCAAGTGGTATCATGCTCAATCTCTGTCCTCTCAAGGGCGATCTTCCCTTTCTCCAAGTCTTTTTTTCCGCCGGAGGATTTCGATGATAGGTGGATTTTTTGTGCTACAAATGAAGGTCAATAGGTCATGACTTTTGGCTCGGAGTTGGTCGTCCTTCTTGCCCTGGATCTGCTCTCGGCATGAAGAGATCGTGGGTTCGTTGGAGAGTACTCCAAGAGATTGTCTCCGCCTATGCCGCATCTCGAAGCACTAGAAGCCCTGCCTCCTCGTTTCTCCTTTAGTTTTGTCTCCTGTTCCGGCAGTGGTTCATGTGCTGTCAGCCGCAGCAACGGCGAAATTCCTAACCGGCGACCCTGCTAGAGTTTCCCATTTCTTACA